TCTTTTATCCCTTCTACTTCCCTCTCCATTAGCTTCAATATTGTTCTCCCTCACTCTCCCCCATTTTCCCATTCCTCCTTTTATAGCATCTTTGCCTTACTACCCTCCTATCTAAATTACCTTCAACTGCCCAAAACAATTGTATCTGTAGGACAATTGGCACAACTTGAAGCCATTATTTTAAGCAAAAGAAGCTAGAATCTGAAAGTCATACACCAGATGTTTTCTCACATATAGTGACCCTAGGTTTAACATTATACAAAGACTGTGTGTGTGTGTGTGTGTGTGTGTGTGTGTGTGTGTGTGTGTGTGAGAGAGAGAGAGAGAGAGAGAGAGAGATCTTTTTCTTTCTTTCTTTTTTTTAAAATAATTTATTTTTTTCTCAAATTGTAATTTATTCACACAGGGGTTATAAACACAGAAAGGCAGCAGGATGTGGGGAAGGGAATGACACTGGAGTGTGGGTGTTCAGGGGGAATACAGATATCTTTCAGACCGGGTATCGGCTGGGTGAAGGTTCAGGGGGTAGGTCACTATGACTCTGCCTATGACTCACTTGTCCTTATCTAAGTTGGTATTGTCTGCCAAGGCTACCTATTTACAAGGTCTATGACTACTCAGGCTTGTAAATTTCCACAAAAGCTGCCTGTTGACATTAGCTTATAGCCATCTGTTTCAATGTTTTTCCACTTAGACCCAAGACTTGGTGTTAGTATACATGTATGACAGGCCTATTGCTGATTTTAGGCCTATGGCTGATTTTAGGCCTTCAGTGTGTAAGCAGGGCTGCTCCTGACATCTCCTCCCTTCTCTAAGTATAGAAGGGCTGTGGCAATTCTAAACTTGCGAAGGCGGGGATAGAGGCCTGACCTCCAGTACTTGAAAGGGACCTTGTAATGGCTCTAGTCCCCCTGTCGTTGTCCAGTGAGGCATGAGGGCCATACCCATCCTGATGTCTTTTTCCTGGAGAGGGGATACTTTTGACATCAACCCCTATGCAGTCAGGCTTGGCCCTCAGGGAACCCAGATAGATATTTTTATCTTTTATTTATATTCCCTTGCAGTACTTAGCCTCGAAGCCTAAGCAAGAATTCAGATCGCCTGTCAGAGGGGGTTCTGGGTGGCCTCTCTCTGTTTTGTCTAGGGGCAGAAGTCTCCCCTTTTAGGTTGGGTGGATATGGGTTTTGGAAACACCCTGCATAAAATAGCAACCTCGTCTTGAGTCTCGTGGTCCTCCATAGCTAACTTATGATAATGTATCTGAATAGGTTTTGCTACCAAATTATTTATCTGTTGTATCACAGAGTTAGTCCGCCTATTTGAGGGTCAGGGACCAGCAGAAATAAGCAAAAAGAACCCAAATAATGGTCCCAAGATGGGAGGAAATAGGGTTGACAACCTTGGAGAGTCTGAAAACCAATTCTTGTACCAGCATTCATCTGCCTCTTTCTGAGAGAGAGATCTTTAACCAGGAAAGGAAGCCACCTGAGCAAGGAGACATGTCTATTTTCTGTGTTTGTGTCCTACATTGTGCCTGTTCATGTTTTGAGTTTTGTGTTTCCTTGAGATCACATTTCATACTTGGGGCCATTTTATATATGTACACATCTTTATAGGTAAGTTTATATATGGTCATATGTATTTAAATCTTCATTTGAATTGGGCTCTTGAATGTGTATATATATCTATAAACTGGGCCTTTATTTACTATTTCCCTATAGCAAAGCCAAGACAAAAGTGGATAGACAGAGGAAATAGTCTCAGCTAATATTTGCTGGTATTGCCTCAGCCTTCCCTTTAAATTTTTTTCTAGATGTAGAATATAGGGGTAAAAATAGGCCATAGGGCTGGGCAGTGGTGGTGCACGCCTTTAATCCCAGCACTTGGGAGTCAGAGGCAGGTGGATTTCTGAGTTTGAGGCCAGCCTGGTCGACAGAGTGAGTTCCAGGACAGCCAGGGCTACACAGAGAAACCCTGTCTCAAAAAAAAAGAAAAAGAAAGAAAAAGAAAGAAAGAAAAAATAGGCCATAGGGATCCCTCGATACTAGGCTTGAAATTTTTGCATCATTTTTTCTGCTGCTCATCCATAGTATGTGATTTCTTTCAACACATGCACTGCTATCCTTGGAAGCACTAGAATTGAACATGAAAGAGTAAATTCTCTGGATTAAAGTAACTACATTCCTTTCTTCTCCTACTCAAATACCACTTCCTTTCTGACCTAGCTCAAGTACTAGCCTGCTATATTGAAGAAAAAGGGGCACACCCTTTGAGATCAGGCCAAATCTGGGAGCAAACTTCCCATTACATTTTGACTGTGTATAGATTCTATAGTGAATCCCTACATAAATTTCCTCTAACAACAAAGAATATTCAAGAACTGATGTGTATCTCAGCATACCAATGTGTGCTGAGAAAGTGCAAGGCCCTAGTTTCAATGCCCTACAACAGAAATAAAAAGATTCACAATGTCTTTCTTACAAAGTAAGGCCTAGAGATAATGTGCTCAGGCCAAAGAAGGAATCCTGTAAATGTTAATTTCAGTATCATTTCCTCTGGGAAGCCTTTTTTCACTACTATGCTCTAATTTAGGATTCTATCTACTTCATAGTTTTTAAACCTCAATTAATAATCTGACTTCTATTAGCATATATATGGTTCTGTGTGCTGTTATACCAATATATGAGATTGTTTGTTATATTTAAAAATCTAAATTTACTTAGATTAAATCTTACTTAGACTTAGACTATGCCTAAAACTTCTTCTATCCCCCAGAGCATTCACAATGGAAATTGCCATTTATAACATGAAGCAAGCATAACAGTGTGGTACTTGCCAGGGTGATTTTTGAGATATAGAGGTATTAAGTGTAAATATTATCTAGGTACTTCTCTTCTAATGATTTCACAATTCCAGTCTTTATGCTCATTTTTAGAATAGAAATTTATTTAATTCACTCAACTCAACAAAGTATTTATTAATTGTATTATGTTTTGCTGTCTTTAATCAACATGACCATATAAAAGTCCTGCCTTTGCTATATCTACATTGTAGAATGTAAAATGAAAAATTAGAAAGACAGTAAATGTCAGGTACAAGCACTACAGAGAAAAGAGAAAAAATTTAAGAGAATAAAGATGAAATGCATAAAGATACAAGAGTAAGTTCACTAATACTAATCTTACTACAGTGTCTGAAAGAGTAAAAGATGAAGAAATGCCAGTTGTTATTGCTATAGCTAATGTTGTACAGGTAATATTGTTTGATTCTTTTTAAATTTATAATATACAATTATCAAGTCTCAACATGTTCATATTACAATTGAGGAAGCTAATGTTCAGAAGGGTTTTATTTTTCTGAAGTCTAGAAATAAGGTGGTATGTATCCTGGCCTATCTTCATACTTACTGACTTTCCAACTATTTCTTTTATGATCAACAGGCTGATGAGTTTGCTGCATGACTGAAAATCCTGGGAAATCCTATCCTATGCATGTTCACCAGGAAATTTCTTTAGCTTCAGATCCGAGCCCACCTAAAAAGATTCAGGATGCAGCACAAAAGTCACATAATCATAACAAGACATGGTGATGTAAACTGTAAGCCCAGCATTGGAGCTGAGACAGGAGCTGAGTTAGATGCTAGGGTCATCCAGAAATTGGTGCCTATCCAATGGACTTCCAGTTTAAGACAATGAAAGTGGGGGAGGGGTATCTGAAGGAGGAAGAGAAAGAATGTGATAGTAGTTCTGGTAGAGTAGTGGTTCTAAATTACTGAAGAAGTTTCTTTGAAGGTCAAAATTCCATACATAAGGACTCAATGGGAAAAAACTTTTAGAATAAAGTTTGCTGTTAATTAAAAAAAAAAAACTCTAGTGAGGTAGACTGAATGTATTAGACAAAGCATGAAGTTCACCCAGTCAATGGGATTAGTTCTGTATAAACACAAGATGGAAAGAATTCCAAATGATAGTAAGGTCCTTTTCATATCATCTATATGCAACTATCTCTTAGCAAGCATGTCTTGCCACAGACTATCACTCTTCTCTGTACAAGTCTCTATCCATGACCTCTTATATCCAGCCAATAAAAAAGACAACAAATGTTAGACATTACCTACAATGAAGAATTTCTGGGTTTGGAATTGCTTACATTTCCAAAGCATGTCTGAAGGTCATTATAAACTTATATATAATTAAACTGTGTGTGAAATTACTGTCACTCTATAGTCTGTGAAGAAGGATGATATTTACAGCAACTACACTTAGGGAATGTTTCGTTATTGTCCTGTTTCAGTGCGAAATCAATTAAAACTTTCAACCTAATAAAGCATACCCCTATTAAGTCTAGTAAATTACAAATAGGGCTTGTCTTTCTCTTTAAAGAAATAAAATATAGATGTCTATACAAAGGCATCATGAGGAGTACTAATTAAAACTAATTTCTTGTCATCAGAGATGGGGCTACTGGCAAAAATCAGTCAACAAACTTTCCCACTGTGAGATATGGGACACCCTCCCAAAGCAACTATAACCCTAGGTTTGATAATTAATAAAAATTTTCTGTGTAGAAAATCTTCCAGTGCACTAAATTCATACTGTGAAGCACTCAGGTGCCTCCAACTCACACACTGTCCATTTATATCAAGGGATATGGGATTAATGGTACAACTGGTGGAAACTGCATATGCCAGAACAAATGATTTCCCTAGACTGATCAGAAAGTAAAGCATTCCCTGTATGGTAAACTTTGAACAGACTCAAAAATCTGGAACATTAAAGACCAGAGAGCATCACTGGTCCCAGAGAAAGTCAAATCCTAGCAGGATGCAGTACAATTTCACTCATCCTTAAATCTCCAGCAGTAGGCAGGGTGAAAGGAAAAGCCTGGTGTCACTATTCTAAAATGAGGAAGGCGAGGAACTGTGTGATGAAACTAGGATCATGAAAAAAAATAGAGAGAAAAGTAAGTAGAAACTGGCAGCTACCAGCATTTCCAGGCTCTTCCTCAGCAGGATGGAAGGACTACCAGAAGTGGCTTCACATCGGATAGAGATCTTGTCCGGCTTGCTGTTCCTGGGCCACCTAATAGTGCTCACCTATGGTAAGGCAAGACATTGATACCTAACTATCTCTTCTCCCTCTGGTAGAGAGTGTGAGGGTTGACTTTGAGTGTTTACTGAGGAAAACTTGTTTCTCATGGGCAGTCAGTTGCCTGCAATTCTGCAGGCTTTCTGAATGATGGGCAGAAGGGAGAGAAGTCTTTAAAGTCTGGTAAAGGTTCCAGAAGCTGTCTTGGATAGAAATTGAAAGGATTCTTCTCTTAAAAAGTGTCTGCATGACTTTCCACTATTTCAGGGACCCCAATGTCATGCAAACCTCCCATATTCTCCTTTTCCCTTGAAATTCCATAATTATTACTAACTTCCCATTTCCAAACTTTGATTCTTGCTACAATATATACGTCCCCAGTGAATAAATGTTGTTGAGTTAATAGACGTGACCTTAGAAGTGACCTGTAGCCAGGGATGACTGGGCACACCTTTAATCCTAGCTGCTGGGAGGTAGAGGCACACTGATCTTTGTGAGCTCAAAAGACTTTGGTCTACATAGAAAGTTCCAGGACATCTAGGGCTACATGGTGAGACTCCATTTATAAACAAGAAAATAAAAGTAACACATACCACTGATTAGAATTATTTACAAGCCAAAGATCAAGTGATCATAGGTGTGTGGGTTCATTTCTGAGTCTTCAATTCTATTCCATTGATCTTCCTGCCTGTGTCTGTACCAATACCATGTAGTTTTTATCACTATTGCTCTGTAGTACAGCTTGAGGTCAGGGATGGTGATTCCTCCAGAAGTTCTTTTATTGTTGAGAATAGTTTTTGCTATCCTGGGCTTTTTGTTATTCCAAATGAATTTGAGAATTTCCTTTTCTAACTCTGTGAAGAATTGAGTTGGGATTTTAATGGGGATTGCATTGAATCTGTAGATTCATCTTGCTTTCGGCAAGATGGCCATTTATACTATATTAGTCCTGCCAATCCATGAGCATGGGAGATCTTTCCATCTTCATAGATCTTCTTCGATTTCTTTCTTCAGAGACTTGAAGTTCTCGTCATGCAGATCTTTCACTTGTTTGGTTAGATTCACACCAAGGTATTTTATATTATTTGTGACTATTGTGAAGGGTGTCATTTCCCTAATTTCTTTCTGAGACTGTTTATCTTTTGAGTAGAGGAAAGCTACTGATTTGTTTGAGTTGATTTTATATCTAGCCACTGACATATTCAGAGGCAGATGCTCACACCTAACCATTGGGAACCTCCATGGGGTTCCCAATGGAGGAGTTAGAGTGAAGACTGAAAGAGTTGAAAGGGTTTGCGACCCCATGAGGAGAGCAACAATACCAACCAACCAGAGCTCCCAGGGTCTGAACCACCAGCCTGGGAGCACATAGGGAGGGACCCATGGCTCCAGCTGTATATGTAGAGGAGGATGGCCTTGTCTGGCATAGGTGGGAGAGGAGACCCTTGGTCTCATGAAGGCTGGATGCTGAGTGTGGGGGAATTCGAGGGTGGGGAGGTAGGATTGGGGGGTGGGGGCATATCCTCATAGAAGCAGAAGGAGGGGGAATGGGATGGGGGTTCTTGGGCGGGACAGGGAGAATGGGGTAAGGGGATAACATCTGAGATGTAAATAAAATATCCAATAAGAAAAAGAATTATTTACAAGCATTCAGCACTTACCATTCATATACTTTTAGAACACATTTATGCTACACTAGGACTTCTCATGATCAACCCAGAACATATATTCAGCACTTGAAACACCTGAAGAACAAAAGAAACTGTGTCCTTTTAACTCTTTGCTCTATGCTAAATATTTCTAGCTTCTTCAACTAAATAATGTGGTATATTACTAGCTGCTGGGATAACTCACTTCCCTGTGGACATAGTAGCCCAGCTGTAGGGTCTGTTTGCAAGAATCTAATTCTAGCTACATATCCCAGCAGAGTCTGGAATATCTCATAGTAGCATTATTTCTGTGACACTTCTTCCACACTCATTTACTATTCAAGGAAATGAAATGCTTTTTCAGGAAACAAAGTACAAGTAATAACTACTTAAGACTCAGCATAGGGTAAAAGGGGTTCTTGCTGAATTTCTGCTTGCTTCATCTTCCTATAGTAGGGTGACATTAGCTCAGACATAATTTGAAATACTTAGCAATTATGGGCTATATTTATTTGCTTGGTTTTTTTTTTAAACTGAAGTTGGCCTCTCCAATGGTTAAAATATGCCATAGATGTTCTAATAGTTCCTGGTGAGACAAAGACAATAGATTCAACTTCAGTGTCCTCATTAATAGATGCTCTGGTACTTAGCAGAGTGTATCCTGGAAGTTGGATAATATAACCTCTCTCCATGCACTAAGTTTCATATTCTTCCTGCTTAACTGAAATATGTGCCAAATTAAAAAAAATAGTGGGTGATAACTTGCATTTTGAAACTATATCTACCAGGAAAGATATTGCTGAAATACAGCCCCTGCCCCAGTTGAATAAAACACAAAGTCATTAAGCTATGAGCTTACATATGAAAAACTCTAGTGCAATGGGCTCCCATCTCTTTTTGCTTCTGCTTTCCCCCAAACTCCTCAGCCCATCAAGAAGCAATTTTATTTTTTTTCACCACACAATGGATAGCACAACCAGTGCTAGAGAGTTACTTGGGTTCTTTATTTTTCCAGACCAAGCATGGATGAACTCTTTTCCCCCTCAGAATATCATTTTCTACTATCTTTTTGATAAGAACTAAAGAAAATGAAAAAAAAACAAAGAGAAAAAAGAAAAAAGGAGAAAAGTCAGCTAGACTTGCTTTCAAAGTACACGTTTCAAATCTAATAGCTAATGGTTTGGTTAAATAGGAATATAGATCCAGGATTTTTGCTTCACACTATGTTTCACCTTTAGAGTCTTTCACCCTTCTGGAAAAGCACTTGATTTTATGCCCTAATCACCGAGCCTTTCTCTTGAGTGAGTCTGCTTCAAGCAGCAAGCTGCACAAAATGAAGTACTTCAGTTTCCACTATTCACCATTCTTCTTCTTATATCTTATTTGAAAATAGTGAAAGAAAATATCATATATATGTAAAATAATATAGAATTCCTAAAGATTAATTTATCCTAAATCTCTACATAATATTTTGGGGGAAAATGGATCCTTCATGGTGGAAGTGATTTACCAAGGGTCACCTCCTAGCAAGACAGTGACATAAAAGGAGGTTGAAAGCAGTAGAGATAAAGAGTATTTTAAAGTCTTCATCCTAGGGACTGACTCACATTGATGGGAAAGTTAACAGACCAGAAGAGCACAGGGATGAAGAGAGGGTGATTGAAAGAAGGGTTTTTCCCAGAAACCTACTGAGCCCGTCACTCACAACTCACTCAAGTGAATATCTTGTCTGTGTTTGCTTCTTTGTTCCCTTTCTTTAGGCCATCCCATTCTAAAAGCACCAGAGAGTGTAACAGGGACCTGGAAAAAAGATGTGACTATTCCATGCATCTATGAACCTCTAGGAGGCTACAGGCAAGTTTTGGTGAAATGGCTGGTACAACGTGGCTCTGACCCTGTCACCATCTTCCTACATGACTCCACTGGAGATCATATCCAGCAGGCAAAATACAGAGGTCGCCTGAAGATGAGCCAAAAAGTTCTAGGAGATGTGTCCCTCCAACTGAATACCCTACAGATGGATGACAAGAATCGCTACACATGTGAGGTCACCTGGCAGACTCCTGATGGAAACCAAGTAACAAGAGATGAAATCATTGAGCTCCGTGTTCAGAAATGTAAGTCACTGTGAGAGTAGAAATGCATTGGGAAGCAAAGACACAGTAGAGTATTGTAATCCTAGACACCTCTGAGAAATTGAGTGGCCTTGGTTTCTATGTACATTGGTTCTCTGTAATTCTATTTGCTAATCACAGGCACCTTGAAGTCACCACCTCATTAGAAATTTAAAAAGCGTTGGGAAATACTGCTGCATTTCTTTTTAAAATGCCATCTTATCTCTCCTATATTCACTAAAGTCATTCTGATGGGCGTAGTTCCCGCCAACTGCACTTCCCAATTTACCATAAAACTTTGTGGTCTAATGAAATACATTATTTGTTAAGTATTTCTCCATTCTTCATATCATCTTTTTACAATTTTTTAGATTTATTTATAAGCAAGTGTCTTGCCTATAGGTATGCCCATGAACCATATGTATGTCTCGTGCCTAAAGTGGTTTGAAGAGGGATCAAATGCTCTAGATCTGGAGTCATGGATGTTTGCAAGCCATCATGTGGGTGTTGAGAACTAAACCCAGGTCCTCTACTAGAGCAGCTAGTGCTCTTAACTACTAAGCCATCTCTCCAACCCAACATTTGTATTTTTATTTTCATGATAGTACCCTTTAAGGCCTCAAAGTTTATAATTTTGTTGAACTCTAACCTATTTTTTATCTTAGTACTTGTGTTTTGTAGCATGTCCCAGCAAAATCCCTTAACATGCATAAAGTCTGGCAGAGCTGAGTAGTGAAGGCACAAGGGCTTGATCTTTTCTTGGTTAGTAGTTGTTTAACTAGCAATCCAAATATTTTTCACTTATTTAAATTATGTAATTTTATTTCCTGGCTCATCTTTTAAAATTAACATTTCTGTTTTTAAAGATTTATTTATCATTTTATACATGTGTGTGTTTTACCTACATGTACATGTGTCTTAGTTACTTTTTTATTGCTGTGATAAAATACTTTAACAAACCTATGAAGTAAGTAGTTTGAGCTTATAATTTCTTTTTTTTACTAATTTCTTAATTATTTTATTTATTTACACCTCAAACATTGCCCCCCTGTACCTCTTCCCAGAGTTTTTCACCCCATCCCCATCCCTGTTGCCTCTGAGAGGGTGCTTCCTCCCAGCTCCAGGCATCCTTCTTCCCTGGGTTAGAGTCCATGACACCAAAGCAAAGGCATGGCTGCAGAAACAGCTAGCTAAAACCTCACATCTTGATCTGAAAGCAGGAGTCAGAGAGAGAGGACATGAGAAATGGCATAAGTCTTTTGAAACTTCAAAGCCCCCCCCCAGACATATTTCTTCTAACAGGTCCACACATTCTAATCCTTCCCAAAGTGTTGCACCAAGTAGTGATCACGTTTTCAAATATCTGAGCCCATAGGGGCTATTTCCATTCAAACCACCATAATATGTGGGTACCAAATACCTATCTGGTACCTGTGGAGGTCATAAGATGACATATATTTCCTGGAATTTGATCTATATATGATAATGTGTGGTTATATCAGTGCTGGTAACCAAAACCAGATCCTCTGTGAGAGCATAAAGAACTCTTAACCACTGAGCCAACACTCTAGGCATTACTTGTAGTTTTATTTCATTCAGTAGGAGAGGATGCACTATTTCAGATAGTTTTAAAATTTACTGGGATTTGCTTTATACTCAGAACATGGTCTTTTGCCAGTAATTCTCCATATGTGGTTGTTAATAGCATCTACTTTTGCTATTGTTATATCAAATGTTCTATATATGCCACTGCTGGTTACCAGTGTTGTTCAAACTTTGAACCTGTTTCTCATTGTTATATAAATCATTTAAAGTGAGATATTGAATTAAAATTATTAGTATTTAGCTATGTATCCTTCCTATTCTACTAATCATTTCTTCATGAATTCAGGGGGCTGTATTACTAACAGCATATATTTACAAGTGAATTTTCTCCTTCACAAAAAGAAACTTTTAGGATTACAAATTGTTCTTCTCTATTTCTAATAAAATATTTTTCTCAAATTTAATTTGTTTTATATCAGTATAGTCATTCTATCCATATCTTGTCTAAAGACTGCATGGTATGCTTTTTGACATTCTTTTACTTTAAAACTGTTTTTCCTTTGAGCACTAAGCAAGGCTATTATATAGCTAGATATGAGAATCTGCCTTTAAATCTGAGATTTTCTACTTATATTTAATCTAATTCTTAATAAAGTAGTATTTTGTCTACAATTTTCTATTTGTAATCTTTATCCTTCATATTTATTTCTTTATTCATCCATTACTTCTACCTGTGATGTTTAATAAATAATTTATAGTGTATATAGTTTGATTATTGTTTAATTTACTGAGATTGCTAGTTTCATATCAACTTCATACAATCTAATCATTTTATATGAGGGAACCTCAACTGAGAAAATGTCCCCAATAGAATGACCTGTAAAGCCTGTGGCATATTTTCTTGCTTGAGGATTGATTGAGAAGGCCCAATTCACCACAGATAGTACCAGCCCCTGGGTATGTGTACCTGGATGCTGTGAGAAAGCAGGTTCAGTAAGTAAGCATCATTCTTCTATAGCTTCTGCTTCTATTCCTACTTCTAGGTCCTAACATGTGTCCCTGCTATGACTTCTCTAAATGATATAGTATGACCTCAGCCTTGTAAGCTGATATAAACCCTTTCTGCCCCAAGTTGCTTTAAGTCATGATGTTTTATCACAGCAATATAAATTCTAACTAAGACATTTACTAAGTATTTTCATTATTTTCTCTCAGTGGGATATCATGAATTCTTAATTTATTGGATTTATTCCAATTTAATTTTTATAATATACAAAAGGTTGTTTCTATTCAGCTCAATTTCTTATCTTTTAATTCTACCATTACTTTAATTATAATGGTATAAGTATTGATTTTGAATTATTGTTTTGTAAAGTGTCTTTTAAGTCAGGTTGCAGAAATGTGTTTAGATTCAGTATTTAACTGTATAGTTATCTCTACTGGTGCTTTTTTATTTCTTCATATTAGTTTTGAGTATCATCTACTTCCCCTTTATTTTAGCTTAAAGAATGCCTTTTGAGATTTCTTATGGGTCCAATATACTAGAGAATATTCTCATGCCCATTATTTATTTAGGAAAACTCTTGATTTTTTTCCTTCATTTTCATCTGCCGTTTGTTTGTGCTTTAGATGGTTTTTTTTCTATGCTGCCCAAACTAAATTTAGACCTGTAGTTAGAGCTACAAATATATGTTCTTCTTACCTGTGTTTTTTTGTTTGTTTGTTTGATTGATTGATTGATTGATTGATTGATTCATCAATTGATGGATTGTTTAGGACTTGGTGATTTTTAAAAACTAAAAACTAATGTAAAGTCTTGTGTATTCATTGTCATGAGTTGCCATTGAACTCACTATTTGATTAACTTAGATGTCAGTTAATGACTGGTTAGAGATTTTCTTAATTCCCAGGAGCAAATAATTCATGGATTATTTACTGGAGAGCAATGATGTTTAGTTAAGGTATCAGTGTACAGCCACTTTACAATTATGGCCCTTTTTATTTTCTGCTAATATGAAACCTAAGGCTAACAGTAAGTGTGTCCTTATACCTTTCATTTATTTTGTCTGAATATCCAAAAGACTTTATGAAAGAATATGTCATCCTTCACTTTGGGAAGTCATCAGACTTTTCAAACTTCCTGGGAAATATCTATTTCTGAGCATTTCCTTTAAAAATTCTTGGTTAGTATCTTCTTTCCTCAAACAAATATTCATTGTCTTAGGCATCTGTGTGACAAGTATTCTCCTAGCCATAGGGAAAGACTTTTTACTATAGGTACTAAATAAGACAGACCTTTGAAGTCATGTTTTTCCCCCAGAAAATCATTAAATAAGGGAAATAAAGATAGTATTTTTGGAATGAACTGCTTACTTGTATCTGGAATAGAGTATTAATTTTTATTACCTCTGAGGTAAGTTGAAATGCCACAAAACTTCATGTTATTACAAAAACCGGCTGTTTCTTTTTCATAAATATACCATGAATTCCTATGAACCAATTTCCAAAATTCTTAGGAAAGTGACAAAATCAAACATTTTCAGTTATGCCTTTATTTCTGTGCAGGAGTAAATTTTTTAAAGTCATTACTTCACCATTTTTTATTGAAGTAACCCAATATCACCTCCCTTGTTAGACTTCTGAGTCTTTATCCAGAACGAATCACTATATTTTAGTTAAAAGTCAGTGAAAATTAAAATACATTTCTTCCACCAAATTTTCACACCCTCTCCACTCTAGATTCTGGTTCACTGAAAGTCTATGAACCTTGGCTTATTAACTCAGGCTTGGAGTGATATGCAATGACTAATGAACAGACAATAGCACTTGCCAGCATCATGAGAGGTCCAACCATGAATCTGACTATGTTTACCTAAAATTCCAAATTTTTCTAGTATCTTCAACTGTTTAGCTAAGGTCACCAGATTCCTTAACCAGGTTTCTCTTCCTTGCAGACCCCTATTATCCACCTATAATCAATACTGAAGCACTTACAACCATGCAATCCTCTTTGGAAGGTAAGTTATACTAGGGCTTTGTTACAGCAGTGCTTTAAAATGATGTATGAAAACAGAGAATATGAAATTCTACTGAGTTTGGCAAAGATATTACTGTCTTACTCAGGGAGATCATGGTAATAAAGGAATATAGCAAGGAGAGTGAAGAAGTATACTCATGAAGCAAAAAGAAAGCATCATGACTATGTGACTATGGGCATAACACTTCTTTGTATATATGTTTCTACTTACCACCTTTATTGTAAGAAAGTAAAATGTTTCACCTCATAGTACAGTATAGATCAATAATATGGTCAGATACCCTGAAAGCCCAGAAGAGTTCTCCAGCAAAGACATAAAGCCTTTTCTACCATCTCCTACCTCACAGCTCTTCAGTGCAAGGGAGGCCTCTGACCTTGATTCTCTATTTTCATAGCAACAACTATAATGAATTCAACCTCCTACTCGACCATTAATGTGACTGGAAAACATGAGGAGACCATTTCTAGCCCAGGTAATAGTAACATTAGAAATTCTCTCATTCTACTTTGACTCTGAACACTGTGATTCATAAACTCTATGTGGAATTCAGCTCCACAAATCATCAATGAAGAGCCCAGGAGCTGAATTAGGTAAGTAAGATAGAAAGGGGAAGTTAAAGATACAAGAATGTAAAAAGTCAGATTGTGGTTAAAGAAAGAAATAAATGTATTCCTAGTTTGTTTCCTATTGCCATAGCAATATACTTCTCAAACACTGAAAAAAAACACAACAACACAGAACTATGGTTATGAACTCAGCCAGTTCTCCAAAGGAGACAGGTAGTAGAATGGGTAAAGATCAAAGCAGTCTCCTCCTCCCACTACTTTAACTTTTGACTAAAGGCTTCTGCCGCAGCTTGCAGCTAATTTTTATTCCTCAAAAGTCTCAAACATTCCCAAGTCAGAAACTTGGATATTAAAATCCCAGAGAAAATGTTGTATACTTCATCACAAACAGATAGTCAGCTAATTTGCAATGGTATGCCTAAATTGATTCTTAAAATAATGAACTTCTTTCATAGTCTTACAACCAGTTGTTAGTTCTAGATATACTACAAAACATCTATAATTCCAGGTACCCATCAAGTATCTATTTTGATTGTTCAGTGTGAAATAGGTTAATAACTATAACTCATTGTTTCATACTCTGTCTTTGTATTATTGAAAGCATATTTCTTTTTGTGATACTGGGTATTTGAACCAGTGATCTCAAATATGGTAGGCAAATTCACTATAAATAAATATAATAAAAGGCACAACAGAAAGCATCATAAAAAGATAAGATCAGACAGAAGAGTGAATTTCAAGGATGGATGACAAGGTAAAGAAGATAAAACCTAATGATATACATAAAGGAAACATTAATGAATATGACTAAAATATTTGAGAAGTCATAGATATATTCAGGAGATCAAACCTAATAATCCATACAGTAAAAGAAGGAACAGAAATAAGTCAAAAGGCTCAGACAGAGTAAAAAATGCTTAGATACTATATTCAATGAAATTATAGCCAAGAATTTTCCAAACCCAGAGAAAGAAATACACATAAAAGTACTAACTAAAAGATGTACATGGAAAATGCCACGTCACAGACCTCAATGTGAAGCATTGATGCATAAATGTCAAGCATAACATCAGATCATTAATCAGCAACACTAAAACCCAGGAGAACACAGAATGATATATTTCCAGCTCTGAAAATAATCACTTCCAACTGAGATAGGTGTAGTCAGCAAAGTTATATCTTAGACTTGATTGAAAATAAAAGGCACTAAGACAGGAAATGGCTTGGCATGCCAGTCCCTGAATGAACAGCCTCAGAGGCAACATGCCCCCCGACAAAGTACATTGCTTAATGCTATAAAAGTGAAGCCTAAATGGTATTAGATACCCCAAGATCCTGGTGATACTAGAGCCATGAAACATCTGCCAAGAAGAACAGCAGATAAGGAGTGGTAACAGCCCAAGAATGAAATGTCTGTTGTAGGAAGCAAAGCAGCAGTGGCAGAGTCAGATAACCCCGGTGACACCAGAAACAAGGCCAAATGATTTGATGCTTGCCCTGCTATGTTTTAGCCTTTGGTCCATTATTTTCTCACTATGCCCTGACTCCGACTCCTTCCTTTTGGAATGATAATGTGTATTCTGTGACATTTTATGTGATATATTTTGATTTTACAAGAAGCTACAGTTAAGAAATTTTTCTTGAGTCTGAGAAGACACTTTGAAGTAGTTTTGCGACTGTCACAGATTGTGAGGACTTTTAATGTTTGACTAAACAAATTTTATATTATCATGTGCCTTTAAATATATCAGGGTCAGAGAGTGGAATGTGGTGGCTTGAATGTCAATGTCCCCCATAGCTTTATTATTTGAGTTTTTGGTCCTCAGTTGATGGCACTATTTAGAGAAGTACTGTGGCCTTTCTGAAGGAAGTACACCATATTTAGAGTTTATAGCCTCAACCCAGATCCAGATTTCTTTCTCTACATTGTGTTTGGTGTTGAAGGATGTGATCTTACAGCTTCCTGCTCCTGTTGCCACGTCCATGCTTGTTGCCATGCTCCCTGCTGTGACAGTCTTTTATCCATCTGGAACCATAAGCCACATTAAACTCCTGGTTCTGAGAATTGCCTTTGGTCGTGGTGTTTTATTACAGCAACAAAAATGTAATTATTGAAATAAGTCATATGTGCCTGGAAACTAATCAAATTTTTAAAGTTTACCAGTTTTTTATGTCATCTAATGATCCTTCTAATTTCACTGAAGTCTCTTTTAATCATTGACTTTATTAACTTAAAGCTTCTTTCTCTTTCTTTTGATTTGCTTAGCCTAGGAGTTTATAAATCTTAATCTATCTTAAAAACCAACTCTTTGGTTAATGCTGTCTATTGTTTTTTCATTCTTTGTTTCATTTATGGCAGTACCTAATATTTATCATTTCTTGTTATATACTGGGTTTGAGATTGACCTCTTGTTTCCCTAGAGCCTTTATGTGTGTATTAGTTTTCTGTTACGAAACATCATGACCAAGCTAACTTACAGAAGGAAGGATTTAGTTTGAGATTAGTTTTAATGGATTAGAATCCATGATATTAGAGTGGAGCCGGTAGCACATAGCAGGCAGTTGAGGTCACATCAGTCCAACCACAAACAAGAAGCCAAGAGAATAAACTGGAGATAGCACATGATTTTTAACACCTCAAAACCCACCCCCAGTGGCATACTTCCTCCAACAGGACCACTCCTTCTAATATTCCCCAAACAGCACCCAACTGGGGAATAAATATTCCTGTTCCCAAGACTCATGGGTAACACATCACTCAAGCCGCCACATTCTGCTTCCTAGCCTTAACAGTCTGTTGGCCACATCATAATGCAAAATTCATTTAGTACAACTTCCAAAGTCCCCATAGCCTGAAACAGAACACTATTTAAAAGTCCAAAGTCTCTTCTGAGACTTAAGGCAATCTCTTAATTTTAATGCCCTATAAAATCAAAAAGCAATTATATCTAATATACAATAGCACATAATATAGATTAACATTATAAAAGTGAGAAATGGGACACAGTAAGGAAATACTAGATCAAAGAAAGACTGAAACTCTGAAAGACAAATTCCAAAATTCTGTAACTCCATAGCTCCACATCTGATGTCAGAGAGCTTGCATGGGTGTCTTTAGAGAAGAATAGCGGAGCAAACCAAACCAATGCTCAAGCTCCCACTGTCTCTGGGGTCATATTTATATTCTTGTATCTGCTATAGCAAAACATCCTTTTACATGTGTCTGCTTCAGGAAAACGTTCTTCCATATGTCTGTGTTAGCAGAACATCCTTTCACGTATTATATGCCCCAGAAAATCATTTGACATAACTCACTCTCCAAAGAAACCAGAAGTTTCTACTTCAGAGGCTAATGAGACAGAAAAGCGGGTGTTTGTTTGTCTGTGTGTGTGTGTGTGTGTGTGTGTGTGTGTGTGTGTGTGTGTGTGTGTGTGTGTGTGGTGTCTGTATATATGTGTTTAGTATAATATACATGTATATGCACATAGTGCACAAGTTTGCCTGTATATACTCATATGGAGAAAAAAAAGTCTTCTTTAGATGCACCTTCTATTGTTCTATACCTTATTTTTGAGACAGAGTCTCTTATTGGCTAGACTGCCTGGCCAACAAGACCAGAGGAGTCATGTGTCTCTGTCCCTGAACACCGTGATTTCAGATTCTCCTATGTCTGATTTTTATGTGGGTGATGGGGACATGAACTCTGTTGTTCCTTAAATACTAAGTTTATTAACCACCAAGCCATCTCCCTAATCCCTGCTTTCAAAAAACACTAGTTTAAGGAAGGAGGCAAGAAGGAAGTACAACACATGTGACATGAAATGGGAACTACTAGGAGGGGGATACAAGTGGCAAGAAGGCAGCAGGCAGTGATGGAGACAAAAATCAATCAAAACAAAATATGATGAATCTGTTATTTTGAATGCTGATTATAATTAAATTAAAGTAAAAAACAAAGTATATTGGACATCATTCAATGTGTCATTTAAGTTGAGGAAACTAAATTCCAGTGACACTTAATGATTTGACTAAATTCGCTGCATTAACTTTCCTGTGACTGATGTAAAGTCTTGCCTCAAATTTTGTATATTAAAGTGGCAGAAATATGTTTTTATATATGTATGTTAATCAAAAGTCTGACATAATTATTAGTGAGATAAAATCAGGTGGCAGGAGTGCAATATTACTTCTGGAAGCTTTGTGAAAGAATCCATTCCCTGATACTTTCCACTGTACAGAAGCTACCTACATTCCTTGGTTCATGACCTCTTTTATGTATTTTCGAAATTAGTAATATAATGGGTTCAAATCTCCCTCAGATGCTTATCTTCTCCTGTATCTCCTACCTCCACTCTTAAATTGATTCTTATAATTGCATTGAGCCCATCAGAAATATTAATATTAATCTCCCATTTTAGCTGCAGATAGCTATCAACCTTAATTCTGCCTTTAACCTTAATTATTCTTATTACATACAATTCTAGAAATTGGATTGCAAACACCTTTGAAGGAAGGACCATTATCTTGCCTATATGATCATATAGGAAGTAAAATAGACTTAGAACTGGAATCTTTGTACAGTCTATTCCTTCATCTCTTTCTACACCTGTATTAATTACTTACCTTATTTCCACAACAAAGGACTTGATGGAAGCTGCTTAAGGAAGGAAAGGTTTGTCTGAGCTCATAGCTCAAAGGTTCAGTCTACCATAGCAAGAAGTCATGGCAGATTAGCACATCAGATTCACAACCAGACAGCAGAGAATGCTGGTGTTCAGCTTGCTGGGTATTGTTTATTCAGTTCATATGCCAGGCTCTGGAAGAACGGTGCCCACAGTTAAGATAATGCCAAGAGGCTTGTCTTCTCGATGCATCTAGATCCTTTCAGAGTGACAGTATTAACCCTCAAGGTGCCCTAGATTTCTGAGTGGAAATATTTTTGAGAAAAGAGGAAGCTGAGAATTGGGCTGGGGAGTACAATCCAGAAGTCTTTATGGCTTAAAGCCAGAATCACATGAATATAGCATTTTTGAAAAGCTGGTGAGCTGAATACTAATTTTTCTTCTTAAGGCAAGGTAAAGAGAAAGGCCCCTGTCTTGACCTCATGGAAAGCATGGAAATCTGGCTATAGCCAACACACACACACATACATGTGCACACACATACACGTGCACACGCTCACACAAACACACATACACAAAAATAAAATCCCAAGAAGTATAAAAGAAATTGTTCTGGCATTGTTTCTCTGATCATTTATGTAGATTTTCTTTTTCTTGCTTTTTTTATTAATTATTTTATTTATTTATATCCCAGCCTTTGTCCTTCTCCTGGCCCCCGTTCCCACAGTTCCTCATCCCATTTCCCTTCCCTCTTGCCTCCAAGATGGTGCTCCCCTCCCCCCAACTAGGAATTCCTCTCCCTTGGGGTCTCAAATCTCTCAAGGATTAGGGGTGTCTTCTCCCACTGAGGCCAGATGAGGCAGTCTTCTGCTATGTATGTGCTAGGGGCCTTGGACTACCAGCACATGTATGCTGCCTGGTTGGTACCTCATTCTCTGGGAGCTCCCTGGGGTCCAGATTAGTTGACGCTGCTGGTCTTCCTATGTGGTCACACTTTAGGGAGTTATTTATATCTTCCTTAAGGGCCTCTATTATCTTCACAAGATCAGATTTTAGGTCAGAATCTTGATTTTCAGGTATGTTAGGGTATCCAGGGCTTGCTGTGGTGGAAGAACTGGTTTTTGATGGTGCCAACTTGCATTGGCTTCTGTCACTTATGTTCTTGTGCTTTCCTCTCTCCATCTGTTATCTGTGGTGTTAACTGGCCTAGATGTCTCTGACTGGAGCCTGCCTCCTTGGAAGCAGGTAGAGTTCTGTGACCCGGGTTGGAACTGGCCTCCTGTGAGGTAGGCAGTGATGTCTCTGGTTGGGGTTGGGGGACAGGGTCCTGTATCCCTGATTAAGGTAAACCTCTTAGGAGACAGGCAGGCTGTGGGGTGTAGGAGAGGAGTGAGCCCACCAATCTGGCCTGAGTACAGGAGCAGACCAGAAGGAAGATGGAGTTCAGGCAGAGGGGGTAGGCCTCAAGTCAGCTGGGCTCTGTGGGTGTCCCAGCTGGCATGGTATTTGGGCAGGAGTCTCACCTGTGTCCCTGGTTACAACAGACCTCCTGAGAGACAGGAATGCTGTGGGGTATGGGAGAGTATAGGCCCACTAATCTCTTATCTAGATTTTCTTAAGAGTATGGGATTTTATTTTTCTCTTTGGCTCGCTCAGAACCTCAAGACATTCTAGGCTAATACTTAGAGTTTCCCCCAGGGCCCAACTTTTGTTCATTTATTTGGTTGCTTTTCTTAAATTAGTAAACTTTTACTGAAATATAGTATACAAATAATATATGGCTATATTAATATTTAAAAATCTGAGATGTGCATACTTCACAGCCACAATTCCTGTGGCCTAATCCTCACCAAAATATTTATTTTCCCAGTACCTATTGCCATGCTTTATTTTAAACTATTTTGTACTCTTATAAAGGAATAAAATAATGCATTTTTGTACCAAACTTCTTTTTCTCAGGGTGTTTGTCAGAATCAATGGTGGTCTCATATGAATACATACATATATATTATATGCAAATATATTTCCATTGCTAGGTAATTGGTGTATGTATGTCTGTTTAACAATACATGTATTCTATTCTTCAAAGTTAACTACAAGACTTCTTACTTGGGCCATTATCAATAATTCTTGAATAAATAATATTGCATTATTGATACATTATGTAGCACTAGCTGTCTTGGAACCAGCTATGTATACCAGTCTGACCTCAGACTCACAAAGATCTGCCTGCTTCTCCCTCCCAAATGCCAAAATTAAACATGCACACCACCATTTCCACTACATTTTATATTTTAAAAATATCATATAGACATTCAATGCTTTTAATTTCTTTATTCTTTATAATTTCATACATGTATAAAATGAAATATGACCATATACACCTCACATTTCTCCCAACTCCAACCATATACTCTACAACTTTCTTCCTCCTAACTTCATGTCTTCTTTTTAGATAATCTACTAAATATGAATAGTGCATGAGTTTGGGGCCATCCAGTGGGGGTATAGGAAACCTTTCAGTGGGATCACACTGAAACAAAAGAATGAATATCTCTCCTTCAGAAGCTATCAATTGTCAGTAGCTCTTCAGTAAGGAGTATGGACTGAAGAGCACCTCTACCACCTATGCAAGCCTTTTGGCTTGATCTTATGTCCATCTTGAGCAAGTAACCCCAGCTACTATAAATCCATGGATGCAATATCCCTTTCATGTCCATAAAACAGCATTTTCATACACTCCTCCTCATTGCCTGGCTCTTAACCTTTCTACTTTCTCTTTCTTGATGTTCTCTGAGTCCCCTTCCCTTTCCCCCTCTCTGTATGATAATATATACCATTTTGCAATGGGCACCCAGTCTCTTCTCAGCACTTTCACCAGTTATATATCTCTGGATTGATTTTTGTTCAATGAAAAATGCACTTCTCTGTCCAATATTGAGAAAAACCTATTGTCTATGGGTATAAGTATAAATTTTCAAATAGCCAATTGAATATTTATAAAAATAAACAAAGCAAGTTCTATTCTAGGGTCTATTACAGTCCTGGCCATGTATTTTGACCAGGATTACAGTAGTAGGCATGATAGTCCTTCCTGTGGAGTGCTCAATTCCAATCAAAAAGCTGTTAGTTATCCTCTAATGGTCTTGCTACTATCATACCAGGGACACATCTTGCCTGTGTATGTTGGTATTATGACACACAAGGTCCAGCAGTGAGTAAGACCATTGATTGATGTAATTTTTAACCAAATAGCACTTAGTCTTATTTTATCTTTTAGGAAGGAACCTGACAATCTTTGCCATAATCTTCATCATCTCCTTTTGCTGCATAGTAGTTGTCACCATAGCTTATATCATGTTCCGCCGCAGGAAATTCCAACAAGGTAAGTGATAAGTAGGGAGAGTTGGGTTTTGCTTATTCATTCTTTCCAACATTACATTGGTTTACATTCTGATGATGCTCTATGTCTAACATTACAATGAGCTTGAAGACCAGTTTTAGAGTAATGATAGAGATAAAAAGAGATATATGTTCATTGTCCCTGCAAACAATGATGTAAGATTTATGGAATAGAATATAAAAGTCCAGTGTGCCCAACCAAGTACAATTTTCTTTGTAAGTCACCTTATAAGAATGCATAAGAAGCTTCCCTCAAGTTGCTTGCCAGTTATGTGTAGATTTCCTGGTTGAAGCATAGAAGTTATCAATAACACACATAGCAGAAAGAATAGTGATCCAAAATGTAAAGAAGAAAATATTGAACAAAAACTGAAGAGATGAAGTCAAAGCCAGAATAATCAAAGAAGTCTTTCAGAAGGTCTAAGTAGAACTAGGTCATATTAAATGAAGACAATATGGAAAGGGACAGTATTCCAGGAAAGTGAATCCATATAAGCTTAAGTACAAAGGCCTAAACTGCAAATGAGTATGAATCATCATAAAGAAAAATTCATACAGTTAAGTGACAATGAAATGCAAAGGAGAATAAAAGTTTCTTTCTAATTATAGCAGGTTTTAAATTCAAGCCCAAAGAATTTCTTCACTTGGTGCTGCAACATTTCTAAGATTAACTTAATTGTTTGGATCAGGGAAATGGCCTGATGAAGATACTATTGTCAAAGTTATTTACTGAGCTTGGAAAGCGCAGGGTTGAGGGAGATTGGAATGTTTGTTTCTAAGGCTCCCTTCACTTTAAGAGAGATAGCTTCACTGTAGTAATTCAATTTACTCTGTAGTTACTGAGAATAGTTTGTATTACAGACTCTGAGTATATAAAGACAAAAGAACAGATGTGGTATACAGAATTTCCCAATCAGTGGGAAAGACAAAATATGGAAATGAGGGGCCTCATACTCTGCATTGTTAGCTTTCTTGTAATCTAGTACATGAATTTACAGTTGCTACTCTGAAAGATTATAACTATCTCGAGGGCAGATTGGGGGTATCAAGAAATGGCCATCTTTGTGCCCAGCTAATCCCATGGAATAGAGGACAGTCCTCCACAGACACTAAGGGACAATGATTATCTAATTAGGGCCCTTTTAGTTTTAAGATTTTATGTAGTTATATTTTATTAATTCAATGAAACATTAACTTTTCCATATATGATATGTGTGTGTGTATGTGTGTGTGTGTATGTGTGTGACAACTGAACCCTTTCTTTATTAGTAAGTGGGCATAAGTGCACTTGAAATGGATTGGGCTATGATCCCTAACATGGAACCAAATTCAATGCATTTTTCCTGGGCTGTGGCTGGGCAATCAAATTTCCCACAGAGTTTTCTGAGAATCTTTGATGAGATTACTGGGTGAAGAGCAGGTCTGGTGTTCTCCCTTTACCAACACCAAGCAACATCTTCAGTCTGATGTTCAGAGTCAGAAATGCCAAAGGGGATGGAAATCAAACATGTATACCTTCAACTTCTCCAATAAATCTGCATCCCTGTATTTCAACTCATGACAAAAATCTCTCAATATTAAAAAAGATGATACTTAGAATTCTCTTCTGTTTCCTGCCATCATCTTTGGACAGGTGCTCAGATTTCATGATTAGCTCTTGCACACTCTCCATATAAGTTTCTGACCGGAATCTTCCTTATTTTCTAGAGTATGTCTATGAAGTTAACAGGTAAGATATCATCTCCTTTTCTATCTTATTAACCATTGCCTGCCCTCAATTTTGTTGATTGTTAGCAGAAAACCTGGAAACTAGTCCTAATAGAGTCTTTCAGGGTCAGAAAATATTTTACCCTCTCAGATAAATGTCCTCATATCTTGTCCTGGATCAGTGAACACACAAGATGATTTAGGTGTACCAACTTTCTGTTCTCACAATCTCTGTCTAGCAGGATCCTGACATTCAGTGAATAAGAACGTAAGTGGTAGAATGCTAGAAAACCAGGATCTAAGTCCTAAGACCTTTCTCATGAATAACTAACTGGGTCTTGGTTCATAGGGTGTGTACCAGGAAGACAAGCAGCTCTGAAGAAACCACAAGGGTGACTGATGTTGCAAGTGAGTACTTCAGAGATGAATCAGATTCCCATGCTCTGATCAACGACTACTCTGATGACCTTTGCCTCAGCCAGGAGTACCAAATAACCACCAGATCAACAATGACTATTCCTGCCTGCTGAACACAGTTCCCAGAAACTAAGAAGTTCTTGCTACTGAAGAAAATAACATCTGCTAAAATGCCCCCACTAAGTCAAGGTCTACTGGCATAATTGCCTGTGACTTATTCAGTTCTTGCCTTCAACGTAGTTTTCTCTCTGGCTTCCTCTCTTCCTAGACAACCTAAAGTCTCCATCTAGTCTGCCAATTCTGGGACGACTGAGAAATCCTGGATTTGGCTAAAGATATACTATATGCACCTCAAGAAATCTAGCTTCTGGGCTTGGCCCAGGACACTTCTTTCTGGGGCCTTCACAAGTCCTCTCCAAACACCAGAGAAATTCCCATAGCACTAGAGGTTCTTTGTCATGCCTCCAGGCTTCACCAGAAAGAATAAAATCAGATGAGTCTCAGTCCTACCAACTCAGACAAATGCTCATGTCTAGGATTACTTCCCTTTCTCTGGGGCCAGATGGCTTTTAATTGATATTGCTATACTGTGGATCTAATACACTAGCACTTGTATTCTTTTGATGTTAATAAATGTTTAATCATGTCGGCAGCTTCAGTTGTATTGGTCTTCTCTCAGTACACAGTAGACCCTATCCAACATTATAAAAATGGTAAGCACCCCTAGGAATATAGATCATACACTTTTCTGTTCTCTCTCTCTCTCTCTCTCTCTCTCTCTCTCTCTCTC